TTCAAAATAGGATCCAGAATAAACAATGCAGGCATTCCAGGAACTAAACTAACATTTCCTCTGTTCATTAGTTATGTTTTCAGGCTTTACAAATGAATTCCATTTTAATTTTTTATTCACATAATGAATTTTTATTCAAACCAAAAAATAGAAGATTTACTGTTATGCAATACTGTAATAATTGTATAAATAATGTCACCACATTTGTGAATGTATATTTAGACCCACCAGGTGGCGTGTATTAGACGTATGGGATCATTTGTTTACTCTTGAACATTGGCAAAAATTTAACATTTCTGCTATTTTGAGCTCAGTTTCAACCCATTTCCATTACTAAAATCAATCAAAATCATCTCTATTTCTGTAAAATATCTTCCATTCTATCAAATGAGACCAAGAAATCATAAATACAACTATAAAAACATACAAAAAAACATTGCAAAGTCGCTGTTTTAATCGAAAATTATGGTCTCAGTTCTCTTTTTATCTCATTATGCACTGTGTGCTGCAGGATTTGTTTTATGTGGTGCACACATACCACATAGATGTATTCTCTCATATCTAGGCCCAAATTTACAGCTCACAGCCTATCAGAGTGAGCTAAGCTCATGGCATAGATCTACGGTTTGGACCCTCAACGTATAGCCATAGCTCTACGGCACAGACCCTCAAAGGGTTAACACATGGCCAAGATCTTCATTTTTTGCCCTATGCAGTGTTTTCCTATTTTTCATTAGTTTTTGGTCATTACTGTCACTATAATACATGTACTTCAGTAACATGTCTTTCTGTTTCTTTAAATCATAAACATTGGTAGTTCCAACACCATATTCTACAGTAAGACACTGCACTGACACACCATGATCATGCTTCTGCAGTAACTACTTTCTGCGTTATTGATAGTGTGAGATGCTTCCTTTTCTTTTTCTCACTGTTACCCATAGGGGTATCTGCAGCTCTTCTTGACATTTTCACAATGAAATTAAACACGGTCACAAAATAATAAGCAAAAATAAAATATCAGCAAACAGCAGGTGCACGTGTGAACACTACAAGCACTGAGACATAACTGACACCTGCCACTCTGGCTGTCAGTGCTGGATCATGCCACCACATGGTGGCGTTGGAGTTATGTAGAGATGACTAGCGCTTCACACTCCATGAAAAACTTCGGTTTTCCGAACTTTTCGAATTTCAGATAAAGGGATGTGGACCTGTTCACAGTGTAACCTCGGTTTTCATTTGCCCTGGTTTTTGTCGAATTCGGTTTTCAATAACTTTTTTTTGTCAAAATTTTGTCCCAGTTTTCGTTCATCACCTCGGTTTTTGTTGAGTTGATAGTTGTCCACCATACCGAATGTGTCCGCCCACGCTCACACAAAGCATCCCATGTGTTCTGAGTCAGTCTGGCTTTGTTTCTCGTTGGTAGAGGGTGGTAGTGATGGTGATAGAGGGTGTTAGTGATGGTGGTAGTGGTTGTGATGGTGGTAGAGGGTGGTAGTGATTGTGGTAGATGGTGGTAGTGATGGTGGTAGAGATAACCTCTCCTCTCTCTCCCCTCCTCACTGTCTTCCATATGCCAACAAGAGTCTTCAATAAAGGTAAAAGTGATGTTAAATGTTCATTTATCCATTTCATTAGTCCTTTATATTTATTTCTCATTGTTTTCTGTATGTAAAACTATAGTTATTCTCCATAAAATGTATTTTTTGTTAATACTTTTGGGGGTCTGCAATGAATTAATTGGAGTTACATTATTTCTTATGTGAAATATTGCTTCAGATTTTCTCGAATTCTGTTTTTGTCAGACATTCTGGAACAGATTAATGATGAAAACTGAAGTTCCACTGTGTACAGATTAGCTGTAAAAAAAGTGTATATCTATACACCAGTATGTTGAGAATAGGTGTGGCATTACAGAGATAATGCAAGTGAGAGTTGTAACTGTTATTCTTTGCTGACGATGCAGTGCTTCTGGTAGATTCGGACAAGCAGTTACAAATGCTGGTGGAAGAGTTTGAGAGTGTGTCTAAAAGAAGGAAGTTAACCCTTTCACTGTTGGTGTCATAGTACTACAGCTTGCAAGCCAGTGTTGGTGCCGTAGTACAGTATTATGCCAAAATTCTAGTGGCTTTAAATCTAGCAGGAGAAAGCTGGTAGACCTACATGTGAGAGAATGGGTCTGCATGGCCAGTGTGCACAGTATAAAAAAAATCTTGCAGTACGCAGTTCATAATGAGAAAAAAAAAACTCCCGTGTTTTTGGTTTAAAATGCTGACTTCGAGGTGTATTTTCATGTGGTATTTATGGTTGTAGTCTCGTTTTCTTGGTCTCATTTGATAGAATGGAAGATAAATTACAGAAATGGAGATGATTTTGATTGGTTTCATGACGAAAAGTACCTTGAAATTGAGCTCAGGGTAGTGGAAATGTTCAATTTTTGCTGATGTTCAAGAGTAAACAAATGACGCCACTGTCCAGTACGTGTCTAACTGGTGAGTCTAGTATGCAGTCATAAATGGGTTGACATTATTTATACAATTATTACAATAATTCAGTAGTCTGCATATCAGTAAATCTTCTAGTTTTTGTGTGAATAAAAATTCAAAATGGAAAGCAAGAGTAATATAAGAGGGACCTGGAGACGTGACTAATGAGCAGAGAGAATGTTATTTTAGTGCTAGGAATGTCTGCATTGTTTATTCTGGACCTGATTTAGAGATTGGCATCTTTTGAAATATGTGTGAAATTGGCCAAATTGCCAATTTTTGACCACTTTATTGGGTAATTGAAATCAGTAAATGGGCAGTTTCTTGTACTCAGTCGATAGGACAAATGGAGTTTTAGTGAAATAGCTATGAGTGTGGGCAACTGGAGAAATGGAATTACAATTTAGTGCAGTTTCAAAGAATGAAATTTAAACAGTTTTAAGTTTGGAGTACTGATTAAATAGTTGAGCAATCAACAAGCACAATTTACAATAATGAAATTGAAACAATTTTAAGTTTGAAGTAAATGATCAAATAGTTGAGCAGTCAGAAATTATTTAGGAGGTTTTTGAGTAACTGGTAGGTGTTAAGTATAGTGTTTGTCTGGTTAATTTTGGGTGATGAGGTGATTTCTAAGTAGGGCCTTAAATTGTTCTGGTAATGAATTCCAGATCTTCTGGCCCTTTACATGCATAACATTTTTGCATAGAGAGAGATGGACACATGGGATATCGAACAGGGATTTGTGCTTTGTGTTATGCCTGTGTGTTCTGTTGTAGTTATCAAGTAGGAGTTTGATAGGAGAGTTAATGTTGAAGTATAATGTTCTGTGTATGTAGTAGGCACAATAATAAGTATGGATGTTTTGCATATTAAACAAATTAAGGTTCTCAAAAAGCAGTGGAGTGTGCTGTCTAGTGCAGGAGTTGGTAATCAATCTCACAGCATCTTTTTGTTGGGTTATTAAAGGTTTAAGGTGATTTGCTGTGGTTGAGCCCATGCACAAATACCATATGAGAGGTAAGGGTAAATGAGAGAGAGGTAAAGAGCTAGAAGAGCTGTTTGGGGTACATAGTACCATATCTTGGAAAGATGCCTACTGTTTTGAAGACTTTCTTGGATATTTGCTGTATATGGGTCTGGAATTTGAGACTGCAGTCAAGGTGGAGACCTAGAAATTTGCCCTCTGTTGTGTCTTGAAATGGGTGAACCATTTATCAATATGTTTAGCTGTACATTTGAAGCTCTGTTTCCAAATAGTATGAAGTAGGTTTTGTCTATATTGAGAGTAAGTGTGTGGGTAGTCATCCAAGTGGATATTTTTAGTAGTTCATAATTTACAATGTCTGTTAATATAGTTGGGTTTGGGGGAGAGAAGACATAGGTAGTGTCATCTGCAAATAAAACTGGTTTAAGGAGTTTATGTGCATTTGGGAGGTCATTGATGTAAATGAGAAAGAGAAATGGGCCAAGGACACTACCCTGTGGGACTCCAACAAGAACAGGTTGTGTAGTGGAGTTGATGCCATTTGTGCATACATACTGTTTCCTATTGTTAAGATAAGATTTTAAGTAATTGAGAGAGTGTCCTCTGACCCCATAGTGTTCAAGTTTTAGGTTCAGAAGCAGGTAAGAAAAGTGAGATGAATAATAAAATAGATGAGGAGAAAGAAGATAGGTGGACTAATGAGGATTATGTGGAAATAAATGTATTTTTCAATAGACACAAAAAGTGAATTTATCAGAGTATATTTGTGTGAATACTTTTGTATGGGTGTTAAACATGGGCTTTAAATGTTTCAACAAAGATGCTGCTGGAGATGACATGTGGTGTGATCATTATGTAATCAATAAAGAATGAAAAAATTAGAAAACTGTGTGGGGGAAAAATGGTAAATGTCTTATAAAAAATATATGATGAAGTTATAGATTAAATAAGTAACAAATGTTAATAATAAAGTCCTTTTCCAGTTTCAAAATTTATTATACCAATAAACATAAAAATGCAGTTTTATGGATATGATTGTGTAATTATTGTAACATGAAGTTCCCTGACAGATGGATCAAGTGTGATACCCCAATGAAATGTCCCTCCTCCCCCATGCTCCCCTGACATTATGCCTTTCAAGATGTTCTTGTGGGAGTTTGTATGTGACTGTATGTTCTAGATACCAGTAGCCAACATTAAAACATTCTGTACTAGAATAAATGATGGCATCCAAAAAGTTATTTAATATATTGGGCAGTACATGAAGTAACTGGAGTATTGATATGTTACAGCACACTAAAGGTAACATAGGCAATCTTGATGATTTATTAAAAAACTGTTAGTTCAAGTAGCATATGCACCATTTTTGTATCTGTTATGTTATAAAAAAAACTGTAATCAGAAAAGGACTGTGTGTAAACTCTGATAGTACAATTTTAATCTATCCTCAAAATGTAAACAACATAAGAATGGCTTTTTAGTTATAAGAATGTTTTTTAAAATGATGGATCATTGCATTACAGAACAGCTGGGAACCCCATCACAAGACTTCATGTCAAGGTTACAACCAACAGTTCGCAATTATGTGGAAAACCGTCCTCGTTATCCTGGATATTCCTTTGATCGCCTTTTTCCTGATGTCCTATTTCCTGCTGAATCTACGGATCATAATCGGCTCAAAGGTGAGGAGGACAGCGATAGATATTGGCCCAAGCATCACAGCTACTACTGGATCAGAGGTGAGGCTGCATAGTTCATTGTTTACAGGAGAACTAGCATGGTGTGCAATGCTACTTAATGCAGTAGAAGCCCACCTTCAGTTACTACCCTGTAATATGGATGAAAATGATCCTGATTAATGAATAACATTTGTTACACTGAATAACTAATGCTAAAAACTTTTCCCAAGTGACTGAGATGATGAGAAAATCTCTACATAATTTTGCATAATGCACTTACAAATTAGAGCCCTGATGTGCAATTTATAAAAGAAAAAATTATTTATGTAAAAACAGTAGTACCTCAGTACTCGAACAGCTCCCAACTTGAACGATTCGGTATTCGAATGCTTTGTTTGGTAAAAAAAAATTGTTTGGTAATCAACCATTTGCTCGGCACTTGACCAAACAGTGTGCGTCAGTTTCCCCGCAGCTGTCGCTCAGTGCAAAACTCCACTGAACTTTGCTGTAAAGTATTTTGTGTTTCTTCACATTTTTTGTTGTTTATATTATTTGTATAAATAAGTCACCATAGAGCCTAAGAGGATTAGTAATAACACAACCAGAAAGAAAATTGGTTAGTCACAATAGAAATGAAAAAAGAACTCATACCGAAATATGAAAGCATCGCCCGTGTGTCTGATCTTGCTACCGAGTTTCATATGGCGAAATCTATGATCTCTGTGATACTAAAATATAAAGAGGCCATTAAGAAGGCTGATGTTGTAAAAGGGGTGAAAGCAGTTACGAAACAAAGATCACAGACAATTGAAGAGGTTGAGAAATTGTTGATTTGGATCAATGAAAAACGGTTAGCTGGTGATAGTGTTTCTGAGACCTTCATTTTATAGATTTATGCATGCTAGGATTGTAAACTTCATGTTAAAATGCTTTTGTAAGTGTATTTTTGTGGGTCTGAAACAGATTAATCTAATTTACATAATTCCTTACCGGAAAAATTTGTTCAGTACTTAACCCTTAAACGGTCCAAACATATATATACGTTCACTCGCACAGCGCCCCGAATATTTTGAAAAAAAAAAAAAATCTTTTTTTTTTATATAGAAAAAAAGAACACATTTTTTGACATGTTTTAGAATAAAAAAAATTAGGGTCAGTACTTACCGAGATATGAGGCCGAGAAGTTGGCACTGGATGCTCATGTGACAGCAACATCGAGTCCTGCCGCTTGCAGAAGTGTTGCCGATATACCCTTTTTTCTATTTTTCATATTATTTTATGTAATTTTTATGTTCTGATAATTACAATTTGTAGTAGTTCTTTTCATTTTATAACCAGTCTTTGTTCTGACACTAGTATTAGGTACTGAAACTGTACTCAAATTGACACAAACACACTCACAGGTGGACATTTACATCTGCCTTAGCCATTTACTAGTGTCTTGGAATATATGCAAAGTATTTATATGTTTCAGCAATGTTTTGGATATGTGGAAGTATATAATAACAATGAGGGGAGGAGGAGGAGGAGGAAGAGGAATGAGGAGGAGGAAGGAGGAGGGAGGAGGAGGAAGGAGGAAGGAGGAGGAAGGAGGAGGAAGAGGAGGAGGAAGGAGGAGGAGGAAGGGGAAGAGGAGGAAAGGAGGAGGAGTTACTGGAGTAGGAGAAGTATCGGGGGAAACGCCCGCCGCGGCCCGAGCGGGACGCAGGCCTACCGGAGGATCAGGCCTGACAACAGGTTGCTGCTGGCTGCACGCAAACCAACGTACGAGCACAGGCAGGCTGATCAGGAACTGTCTTTAGGGCTTGTCCAGTGCCAGCTTGAGAGAGCAGGGGTCTGTTGGTAATCCCCCTTATGGAGAGCTGGGAGGAGTGAACAGTCTGGGCCCCTGACACTTTTGGGAGGGTCTCTTAACGTGGGAGGGACAAACCCCGGCTTTTCATTGGGGGGATGGTGCAACGTCTGCCAAGTCTTTTGCTTACGTAGTGAGTGATTCGGGGTGCAAGTTTGGTACTAGTCCCTCTAGGAATTCAGGTGTATAAATAATATGACTCTCCCTCCTGCGTTCCAGGGAATACAGTTAGAGAACCTCAAGCGCTCCGCAGTAATTGAGGTGTTTTACTGCGTTATGGCGCGCGTGAAAGTTCTCTGTACATTTTCTAGGTCGGCAATTTCACCTGCCTTGAAAGGTGCTGTTAGAGTGCAGCAATATTCCAGCCTAGATAGAACAAGTGACCTGAAGAGTGTCATCATGGGCTTGGCCTCCCTAGTTTTGAAGGTTCTCATTATCCATCCTGTCATTTTTCTAGCAGATGCGATTGATACAATGTTATGGTCCTTGAAGGTGAGAGCCTCCGACATAATCACTCCTAGGTCTTTGACGTTGGTGTTTCGCTCTATTTTGTGGCCAGCAGGAGGAAGCAGGAGGAAGCAGGAGGAAGAAGGAGGAGGAAGGAAGGAGGAAGGAGGAGGAAGAAGGAAGGAGGAGGAAGAAGGAAGGAGGAGGAAGAAGGAAGGAGGAGGAAGAAGGAGGAGGAGGAGGAAGGAGGAGGAGGAGGAGGGAGGAGGAGGAAGAAGGAGGAGGAGGAAGGAGGAGGAGGAGGAAGGAGGAGGAAGGAGGAGGAGGAGGAGGAAGGAAGGAGGAGAGGAGGAGAGGAGGAGGGGGAGGAGGAGGAAGAAGAAGAAGAAGGAGGAGGAGGAAGAGGAGGAGGAGGAGGAGGGAGGAGGAGGAGGAGGAGGAGGGAGGAGGGAGGAGGAGGGAGGAGGAGGAGGAGGAGGAGGAGGAGGAGGAGGAGGAGGAGGAGGAGGAAGAAGAAGAAGAAGAAGGAGGAGGAAGAGGAGGAGGAAGAGGAGGAGGAGGAGGAAGAAGAAGAGGAAGAAGAAGAGGAAGAAGAGGAAGAGGAAGAAGAGGAGGAAGAAAAAGAGGAAGAGGAAGAAGAAGAGGAAGAAGAAGATGAAGAAGAAGATGAAGAAGAGGAAGAAGAGGAAGAAGAAGAGGAAGAAGAGGAGGAAGAAGAGGAAGAAGAAGAGGAAGAAGAAGAGGAAGAAGAGGAAGAAGAAGAAGAAGAGGAAGAAGAAGAGGAAGAAGATGAGGAATAATAATAATAATATAATAATAATAATAATAGGTTATAATAAATTCCCTTGAAGCATGAAAAACAAAGTCCACCCCTGACAGTGACATGATAAGATGAGATAACTGATAAGAGCTGATGTTTGATGAGCATACACGAGGGTGGGGGAGGGTGCAGCTGATAAGAAAAGATTAGAGGTGATATTTGATGAGCATCGCCCTCACTTTGTTTATTTTTGCTGGTACACAAACATGTCTGTCTGTTTGTCTGTCTGTCAAGCTCCCTGTCTATCTGTCTATCCATCTAGCTCTCTGTCTCAGAGAGCCACAAGACTGTCATCATCACCTTTACTCACATCTTCAAGCAGAGTATAGCACTTTGTCTGGATTTTTTTGGGTTATCCTAGGTAATTTACACTATGTATACTTGCATTTATGTGTACCTGTGAGACAGACAGAGACAGAGATAGAGGAAGACAGAGATAGAGATAGACAGAGATACAGAGATAGACAAACCCTAAATTTGGGGTTAACATCATTTTCCTCTTAAAAGAGGAGTGTTAATATGACATTACATCAGTGAATCCTTGGTGTTTGCCACACTGTTTGCTCTAGCTGGCGCTCCCACATCGTACTAAGTGGTCCCAGATTTTTTTAATACTGCGTACTTTGGTTTGCATGCAGCCAGCAGTAACAGCCTGGTTGATCAGGCTCTGATCCACCAGGAGGCCTGGTCACAGACCGGGCCTCGGGGGCGTTGTCCCCCAGAACTCTCTCCAGGTAAACTCCAGGTAAACACTGAGTGTTAGGACCCATTCTATGCTAACAAGGCATCTCAGGCCAATTGAGCCAAATTTGAAGGCAAGAAAAACAAAACGTATATATACGTTTGGGGCGCTACGCGTAAGAACCTATATATACGTTTGAACCGTTTAAGGGTTAAACAGATCAGCACTTGAACAGCCTTCTGGAACAAATTAATTTTGAGTACTGAGGTCCTGCTGTATATTTTAGTGTACAGTGTGAGAACTAACTTTGATATTCTTTAATGACTATTTTATATGTAGCAAAAATTACCAAAAACATAAATACCTCAGTGCATCAGTCTTATGGAAATCAGAACCTAAACACAGTGTTATGAATCTTTCTTTCAACGCACCGGCCGTATTCCACTGAGGCAGGATGGCCCATAAGGAAAAACGAAAGTTTCTCCTTTTATGCTTAGTATTATATACAAGAGAAAGGGTTACTAGCCCCTTGCTCCTGGCATCTTAGTCACCTCTTACAACACACATGGCATACGGAAGAAGAATTCTGTTTCACTTGCCCATGGAGATATGTTATAAATCTTTCTTTCTTTCAACACACTGGTTGTATCCCACCAAGGCAGGGTGGCCCAAAAAGAAAAACGAAAGTTTCTCTTTTAAATTTAGTAATTTATACGGGAGAAGGGGTTACTAGCCCCTTGCTCCCGGCATTTTAGTCGCCTCTTACAATACGCATGGCTTACGGAGGAAGAATTCTGTTCCACTTCCCCATGGAGATAAGAGGAAATAAACAAGAACAAGAACTAGAAAGAAAATAGAAGAATACCCAGAGGGGTGTCAATATATATATTTCTACATGTATGTGTAGTGTGACCTAAGTGCAAGTAGTAGCAGCAAGACATACCTGAAATCTTACATGTTTATGAGACAGACAAAAGACACCAGCAATCCTACCATCATGTAAAACAATTACAGGTTTTCGTTGTACACTTACTTGGCAGGATGGTAGTACCTCCCTGGGCAGTTGCTGTTTACCAACCTACTACCTATAATGTTATAAATACAGTGGACCCCCGCATAACGATTACCTCCGAATGTGACCAATTATGTAAGTGTATTTATGTAAGTGCGTTTGTACGTGTATGTTTGGGGGTCTGAAATGG